AGCGAGAGTTCTTCCGCGGAGAAGTTAGCAGAGATGTATGTGAGGGAAGTGGTATCTCGGTATGGGGTGCCGATCTCGATTGTCTCAGACCGGGATGTACGTTTCACTTCCAAATTCTGGAAGAAGTTTCATGAGGAACTGGGTACTAGGCTGCATTTTAGTACCGCATATCACCCCCAGACAGACGGACAGAGTGAGCGGACGATTCAGACGCTCGAGGACATGCTCTGATCATGTGTATTGGATTTCGCCATTTCAAGGGAAGTTGGGATACGTATTTGCCCTTGGCCGAGTTTTCTTACAACAACAACCATCATTCGAGCATCGGTATGCCACCCTTTGAGCTGTTGTATGGGAGGAGGTGTCGGACCCCCATTTGCTGGGGAGAAATCGGACAACGCGTTATGGGAAACACTGAGATCGTACTTCAGATGACAGAGCAGATCCAGCAGGTCAGACAGAGGTTACTGACTGCTTAGAGTCAACAGAAGAGTTATGCAGACAGACGCCGATCCGAACTTGTAAGTCCCTAATTTGCCCGTGTATCAGTCAGATCCGTTTGATGGTGCGGAATCCCAATCAAACGGGTGATTTCAGATCAAATAGAAGAGAAGGAGAAGAAGAATAATATGAATCTTTGTATGTATTGATATGAATGAAGATCCGGATACAAAAGATTCACACACACATAAAAGCTTCTATCTCTCTGGCCGTTAACTCTCTAGGGTTCATCAATCGATTCCTCACACCCTAATACCTATATTTATACTAAGGGAACATGGGTCGGAAACAAATGGACCGTAAACTCAACCGTAAACATGACCATAAACTCCATAAATATTATAGAAAAATATAATTGCCCAGAAAAGCAAAGTATAAACCATATTTTTGACCCAACAATCTCCCCCTTGGTTTATAGCTTTCTTTTCTTAATGGACCCAACAAACTCCCCCTAAAAAGTAGCTGGCTCTTCTTGTCAATCTTCAATGAGAGCTTGGCTTCAGCTTTGACCTTCGATTTCTTCACAGCATCAGGATGAACATATGAATCTTCAATGAATGACTTCATTTTGAGCACTTGAGGTTTTCTTCAGAATTTGGCATTGAACGCACATTGGGTGAGGAGGCTTGACGTATTGATTCTTGAAAGATGGCGCTTTCAGCTTGAGAATCTTCAGAGAGAACAAATCTTCTAGATCACTTCAACAGGTACAACAATAGCAGCAGACTGATTGAGAAGGCTTCAATGCAATCTGTCACATAATCTTCAATTTTAGCTTCACCTTGCTTCTGGGGTTGAAGGATTGAATGTTGAAAGAATAATCTTCATTTCTTGCTCCTTCGAATGCGTTCTTCGATGCTCACGGATGAGGCTTTGGCTCAGAAATCTTCAACACAAACTTCATGAGTCTTATCTATACCTGAAATCACTTTTCAAGACAAAACAAAACTAAAAGAAAACTTAGCACACAAATTAAAACGAAAACAAAAATATTTTTGGATTTTTTATTATTTTTCTGAATAAGAAACTAAACAGAAATAACACTATTTTGGATTTTTAATTTTTCTGATTTTTCTTTGTTATTTTTATTTTCATTATTGTTAATTTTTAATTTTTCCCTAATATTTAAATTAGAAGAAACTATGACAAATTTAACAAAAATAAAATTGATATCTAACTTTAAGAGTGATTTGGGATTAAAGTTTTTAGACAGCCTTTATCCACTTGTCGGTACCTTCTATCTTCACGTCTTTGTCTGGTCGATCGTCGATATTGTGGTCCACTTAAACACGAAAAATTGTGACAAATTTAGGACATACTATTTGTTACAAGACAGGATGAACTGAAAATCCTAAAATTACATCTGATCCTAATTTCTTAGATACTATAACTTAAGGACCATTCAACTGACGACGACCAGGGATATTGTTGTCCACCTAAATCGAGCAGCGAGATCTATAGACAATCTGTATTTGTTCAATTTTAAGTGTACTAGAACGTGTTTCCCGCTTCCTCATATGCCCTAGCCATCAAGAACTTCCAGAGTACTCCTTCCACCGGGTGAGCAGACAATCATTCAGAGAGAAGATAGATTCAGAATTCTATAACTTATTACTTTAGAGAGGTTGAGAAGTAGAATGTTGCATATGATGTGTACCAAGTCGGATTTGAAGTCACGCAAAGGAGACAGCATATGGCTAACAGATAAGAAGAATTTCATATATATAGCATGCAGAGAGATAGAGTTGCATATGTTGCAATCCAGGTCGGATCTCTTCCAATCACGCAAAGGGTGCAACATATGACTAACAGACAGAGAGAAAGAAAATGATATTCTACAGACCTAATTTATCGGAATTTATGAGTCGTCCCATCCAACTGGAATTAAGGACAGAATCCGCACATCGAGGAAAAGTTAAACCACGGTTCCAAGTACGGGTTCATTTAATGTGATGAGTAGATTCCCATATATATCTCCCTGCTCAACCTATCCGAGCGTCGTATTGTCAGGCTGAACGGATCTAACTAGGTCAAAATTTGTCAAGTCTATAAATTTCCTAAGTTCAACTCTGCGTAGTCAAGTCCATTAGAATTTTTCATGCCTACCGACGCATCAAGTTAGAGCATAGACCCTTCAACTATGGGTACGTTATGCAGACTCAGGTTGCCTGTTATCACTTGATAATATCATTTCCCAAAACATCTACCTCAAGCACATTTCATAACCAACATATTTTTTTTTAATTTTCTAATTTTCTAATGTTTTTGGATTTTTGAAAATTTTCTAATTTTTGTTTTGTTTTTATTTCTCCCCCTAAATTTGTGCATAGGAGAGAAACGAAAGTAAATGCGCAAATTAAAATTATCCTAAAACAAAAATTAGTCTTTAAAGCGAAACAACTTAAGAAAAAAAAACTCAGAAGTATAGAGAAGAAAACTCAAACCGTAATTCACCGATTGAATTTGCATCCAGAAGGTCTGAGAACAGCACGCGTAAACTCAGAACAGATCCGAAAATTCTTCATATTATTAAGCACTAACCCCATGAGTGATCCCTTCCTTTCTTCCCTTCCCGCAAAGGACACATACTCTCAAATAATGTTCCGAGTGTTGTACAGTTGAGAGATGTCCCCAATCATGTCACACCCCCGAACCAGACAGCGGAAACGTTCGGGGGCTGTTGTGACTCAATTGAATACCATCACAGTGAATATACATGAAACGTAACATCATACATCACCAAGCATTGGAATAACACAATTGGTAGCGTTTACATCCGTTACATTGTTTCAAAATATTACATTCCAAAATACATTGTTCGTTGTTACTTAAACAACCGCAAAACAATCATAGAGTACAGTCCTTTCTTCACTTATCTGTTACCTGAGAATACAAGTATTTTGAAAAACGTCAACATATGAAATGTTGGTGAGTTCATAAGTAATGTTTGAAATCCAATGTTTGTAATGTTTTGAAAAACCACCAGAAAATCCGATATTTTCTGAAAATAGAATAGCGTAAAAATATGTGAAGATCCGTGAGTATGCTTGTTTGAATTCTATAGTGTAAGCGTAAGAGTTGTGAAATTCGACATGTAGTTCATAAGTGTACTTGTTGAAAACCCTAGGAAAACCCGACGTTTTCCTATCACTTTGCTTTACTTAGTTTTGTGTGTTGTTATTTCGTTACGTTAGAGGTGTTCGTTGAGCTCCGGAGGCATTGAGTATACAGAGGGTGGTGAATTGTTGTAACGTACGTTAATGAAAACGTCCAGTTGACAACCGTACTAGCGATCCCTTAGGCGTCACTCGCACTTATTCACACAACTCAATCCTCCCGGACTTGTGTAGTCCCACGACCGAGGAGAAAGTGAAGGTGCGAAACCCTCGGTATTTCCCTACGTCGTTCAAGACCATTGCAATTGCGAAGGGCCCGAAGCCCAACCCGCAATCGTGAGTTCCCGACTTTACTAGCAGCGCCGAAGGGACCCTTGGGACCAGCAGCATGTTTGCCATTA